GCAGTTTGCTAGATATGAAGAAAACAGCACCAATAAAAAAATACTTTGTTTGTTTTCTCATTTTGAATTTTTTGTTTGCTTGTTTTTGCTTTTGTAATTAACAAGGTTAGAATTAATCTGGGCAATGTTTTGGTAAAAGAAAACCTATAAATGCTGAAATTAGCAGCTTCAGATTCCCCCACCCCTCTTGTTTGGTTCTAGAATTTTTTGCTGAACTGCTAAATTCCACGTAAAATCACAAACAGTTATACTGAAGTTGACCTGGGAATGCATTTACACCATTTAAAATTTTTTGAACGGAATTAAGGAATGGTGTAAGGCTTTATTTTACTAGTACCTGAATTTTAGCCGAAATACATACATACAGATGTTTGTATTTTGGTTTAAATATATGCATATCAGATATCATTGTGTTTCCAGAGATTTCCAGCATTGCTGAAGTTGTGAATTTAAATTGTCCAATGCACGTTCTAGAAATACTAATCCAATCCATTATATTTTAATTCTTAACATTTTTAATATCACTTTGTCCGAGAAAGTTGGAGGTAGGCACATTACTCTGTCTCCTGTTCCTTTCATCCTTATTAAACCTTAAGAAGTACTGTAAAAGACACTGGTTTAGGAGAAAATGACTTAGCTTTGAGGTTAAGTAAGGAATCTGAGCCTTCCCAATTATGGACCAGTTGGCATAGCAATTGCTACCTGAAATAAGTACCTTGGTTGAGCGTAGCTCCTTTATATGTCTTGTTCATGTTTCAGTTAAAATGTTTTTGCAAACTGGGCATGCTTCATACTGTATAGAGGGGACTCTACTAGGGAACTGATTTTATTTGCTACAAATCTAAGAAGGGAGATAATTTCAAGTAGAGAATAATTAATAGAAACAAATAAACAAAAGGGTATTTAATTTTTCGGTAACCGCTTTCTTTTTGGTAGTGCAAGCATAAAGGGAATTTAAGAGTGATAAGTGTTAGTATTGCTCACGTCTTAGTACTGCAATTTGTGTCTGCTACTTTGCCTCTGATTTAATTTTGTTTTGTTTTGTTTTAAATCTTGACTCTTACCCATCCGGTTTTGGAAGAATTAAATATTTATGCTCAAAAATATTTGCGCAGTATTTCAGTCTTTTGTCAATCAGTCAGAATTTCTTTTTTCTGTTATATAGTACTAATGTCAGCCTTGTTTTTAGCAACATTTTTATTAATATTCTACAAACCCTATTATTACTGGTCTCATGAAAACACAACTAGCAAAGGAAACTAAAGAGATCTAGTTCCATGCTTAATCTAAAGATAAATAACCATTTATAGAAATTCTTACAGATTTAGTGTACTGTATATTATGTTTGCCGATTACTTAAGATATTTTTTTTTTGGTATAGTCACATTGTCAACCCTAACCCACGTAAAGTTTATACATTTGTGCTGAATATCCATATGTAGCCTTCCAGAATGTTAATGTAATTTTCTACTAAATTCGTTTCTTTTTCTCTTTGAAGTAGTAGAGAGCAACAAAATGGATTTTTGAGCAATTTATTATCGTTCTTTTTTTAATCAGACTTTATCAGTTCTTTTTATCATCCATTAATAAAAGTTTATCACAATTATTTGACTGTTTATAGGTATGTATTACAATACCGGTTGGGCAGATCATATTTTCATATCTTATATCTTTAATGTCAAGAAAGCATACAAATATCAAAACCCTAGATTTGTAAAATTAAAAATAATAAATGAATTCATTAGTTCCTTCACAATATTAAATAATTATTTTGCATACTTACTAATTAAATGTACTAACCAATAGAATCCTACAGCCCATTTATAATAGCCTAAATAAATATAAATAGTCTAAACCTTACAGTCAGAAAGCCAGGTGGTGTTGTTGTTTTTTCCAGTAATGAAGTGAAATACAAACATGCTAATATTTGCTTTTATTACACTTCTGGTACATTGTTTTTTTCTGATGATAATTAAGACTTAAAATTGCTACTTTTACTTTCAGCAAATCTAATAATTTAAAGCAGTGTAGCCCTCATGGCTATCATACATTTTGTAATTTTGATCCTTGTCTATCTGCTAATGGTGTGCTGTAGGTTGAAAATCCTGTAACTTTTATCCTATGTCAGAATTTCGAATATTCAGCCTCTTTCAATCTGTCTTTCATCTTTACTCTTATCATTTCTCCTAACTCTGGGTTAATTTTTCTTTTTTTGTATTATTCTAGGCTAAGTTTTAAAACTGGATCATTCAGATTTAATTTTCTTCTCTAAAATTTATTTTTTCTCATTTCTTACGTTTTACTAATATCACTGTTTGTGTCATTTTCTTATAGTGTAAACTGCCTAATAATTTCACCTGTCCCTTATGGAACTCTACCTTCAAAATCTCATTTTTCTATGAGTATGTTTAGTGGGGTTTTACTTGGGCCCCGATTGCAAAGATTAATAATTAATAACTGACAATAACAAATCAAACTAAAGTCTAAATTTTCATTGCACATAGCGCTGACATTGAAATCAATAACAAAATTTAAACTGCACCATCTAACTTTACCTTCCATTCTACATTCAGATAGCATTTATGTTATTTTTATAGTTATAACCCCTTTATAGTTCACATTTTATATACTGGTATGTTGTGAATTTCACATTTGAAGTACATTCAAGAAAGATCACTATCGCAAAAAAATGTAACTCTTTTTAAAAATCCTCTATTGCTGTATTCTCAATATCACATTAGTTTGCAGCCTTATGTAAGAATATACATATACATATATATGTATATATATACACATACATACAACAGGATTTTGGTGGCAGATAAATCACTTCATTGAATAAATAAAAATGTATTCTGTGCCAGTAAATTTCTTACTAGTTGTGAAAACAGTCTCCACTATTAGCTGCCTAATAAATTCTAATAAGTTGCTTTTAAAATTCCTTTTTTTTTAAATAGCTGACAATTAATACCGATTAGATTTCTGAACTCTAGTGCCCTGTTCTGGCATTCTCTGGGGGTCGATACTAAGCAGCTGCCGTTTTCATGTCGATGCTTACGCTGCTGCCGCAATTTCCAACTTTATACAGTTGTTCAAACAAGGGCCACTTACGAAAATGGATCTCTGCAGCTTACTGTTGTTCCTCTTCTGTCCATCCCACCAAACAAAAAAGTTGAAAGCTGCAACAGGGACCCCTGTAAAATACCTCCCACATTTTAGCTCTTTGAAAAAAAACCAAAAATTGCTAGGCGCCCTTCGCACAGGATAGTTATAAGTACATAAAATTGCTTTTGTTGAAGAAGGGGAGGGCCGGCTTGAATGGCCTTTTCCATTGTACCCAAATAGTGGTAGATAAGGACTGACCATGCTTTTCTTTTAAAAAAAAAATAAAATTGGGGGATAAAGTTTACTAATGAAAGCATTCCTTAAACGTCGGTTTCAGAAATGTGTCTGGGAGCAAGTCAGCTCAGGAGTTCTCTGACTCTGACACCATTGTATTTCTGGATGGAAGGTGTCAGCTTTGGAAGCCTTTTAATTGTTTTACCTAATCTACTTTAATCCAACTCGGTTCTTTCCAGATTTAGCCGAAGCTCTCCCGCATTACCTCTTCATCATTAGGCAGCGCTTAATTCGCCGCTTTCTTTATTTTCTTTGCCTTTACCAGGTTGCTAATAACATTTTACATTTGCTATAAGAAAACTCACTGGTGTGGTCTCTTAATCCCCCCCCCACCCTGCTCGCCCATTCAGATGCATCCAAGAATGAGTAAGTGCTGTGGACACCAAGGGGCAATAGATGTGGCAACTGGTGCTTAACATTGGAAATGTCCATTATTAGCACATTCCCAGGAAATGCTGTTCAGATTATCGGGAGGAAATGTCAGGACATTTAATAATCACCCTTGAGGAATTTAGAGTTAAGGGTAGATGCCCTTCCTCTCCACCCTCCCATTTTCTTCCAAGTGTTCCTTCTGTGCTTTTGCGTTCCAAAAACAGGCATGGAAGCTACCTAAAGCAATGATGCTTAAGTTCTAAGCTTTGTTTGGGTGTGTTATTAAAGCCATTTGTTTCTCTGCATTGCACATTTATAAACCGTTATCTGGGATTGGCACTCTTCGGGTTTTTGCTTATGTAAAGTGTGCGTGTCACATATACTTTTGTTAAAAGCATGTATTTATAATGGAGATTGACCGGGCAAATTTGTTTTTGACGTCTTTCATCTTGTTTTGCAGTTAGTGTGAGTTTGCTTTTCATGCAGTTCTGGTGTATACACCTTTGTTGTACAGTACCTAATTTTTTTGAAGGATCTCTCCGGCTCGTTCCCTGGTGTTCCACACAAATGATTCTTAGGTTGTAGCGCTAGGATCAAACTCATTCACGTTTACCGCTAATGGACTGTCTCAGATAGCTTAACTAAAAAGTGAAATATTTACTACTAGGACTAAAAAAACCCTAGTTGTTCTATTTTACAGTTTTGGGACAGCTGTTCTACAGTTCGGCTTCTTGCCTGTGTCAGGGTTCCAAGTAACACCCCCAACCAAAGAAGACTCCGAGGCTAAAAGTTCCTCAAAGTTCCATTTTATTAGAGATGTCATATTGGCACATCTGGGAAAACCCGAATCTGAAAGCTTCCAGATTTTCCCCACCCAAAAGAAAATCCGAGTCTCTTTCCCCTGCACCCACATGTCCACCACATGGTCCAATCGGTGCACCATCCCAACTGGAGATGCCTCTTAGTCACACCACTCCAGGTGCTGGCTGAACGTCCTTGACTCCCAGAGAAAATAATGTTGTTATGGCTAGATATCTCTACAACTCCATGCAATCCTCTCTCCCGGTTTCCCACAGCACTAAGTGTGGCAGCCCTGAAGATCCAAAGAAAAAGATGGCTTCCAGGGCTGACAGGCGGTTTTTTTTCCCCCCAATTGCGCTTTAAAAAAAAAAACAAAAAAACCTCATGGCCTGGAAATGACTTATTAATGCTTTTGTCTCTTTTTTTAGGGCAGCCTCGGAACTTGCAAGATCTCTGTCGAATTAAAATCCGCCAGTGTATAGGCCTTCAAAACCTCAGGCTTCTTGATGAACTACCGATTGCCAAGGTCATGAAAGACTACTTAAAACACAAATTTGATGATATCTGACAATTTGCAAGAGTTGGACAATAAGCAGGATTAGTTTGTATTCCAGATACCTTTCAAAGGCTGGTCACCTTGCACAACGTATATCCTATGCAATTTCTGATATATTTTTTTTTTTATTTTTTTTCCCGAGAAGTCAGAAGGCAGGTATACAATTCCTTTCGGGGAGTGGCGGGATGGGCGGGGCAGGGCCTGTTTTATACCAAATGCTAGGAGGTCTTAAATTTTTTGGGGTTTTTTTTTTTTTTTTTTATTCTTGTTGCTGGCTTTCTCAATACTGACCTTTATTTGATTTTGACAAACCGGGAGGGGGGGGGGGGGGTTGGGTTTTATTTTGCAAGGGAGGTGGGGGGCGTTTTTTAAGCATCGCTTTTAAGAATGAAGAAGGAACATTGCTTGTTCGAAAAGAAGTCTTCCCCGTCCCTGCATAGCATGTTGTAATATTTGCAAAGTGCTGAATGAATTCTAAACCAAATAAGGGTCAGGCTTAAGAACGCCATCTACCAGGCATTGCAATTGTTATTTCTCTGATTGGAAGAGAATCCTATAGGCGGATCCTTCTGTAGCAACACTGATTGGTGGATTAAGCCCCCCAGCACTATTCACACACAGACACACACAAACAAAAGGCCAATACGGCACCTATTTTACGCTTCATTAGTGCTGACGATTGGATTCCAAACAGGGATGTAATTTTCTGCCCAGAGGGGGGTTATTTATTTTTATTATTATTATTATTATTTTTCAAAATCATGGCTCAGGCGTGTAAGTAGAGTGTTCGAAGTTTATTATAGACATGACGGCTCTCTGAAAACATTGCCACCTTCATTCTTTTTTTTTTTCTTTTTTTTAAATTCAACTTTAGATTTTTTGCATAATTATTGTACTTCAGATGTGCAAAACGTTCCTTTAAAGCCAGTATGAATGGACTGCTCTTTTTAATTAGGTTTTACACTGCTCGGATACCTCTCTGGTCTCTGTGCACCATAAAAGCATTAACCGAAAACAAATTTAATTTTAAAGCCGACATATCCTGTTTCCATATAGTGCCTGGAGTGCAATATATCTGTCTGTCTTATTTTTATTTCCTGTATCACACATGTGACTTTCACACATTCCTATCCTGACCTCAAATGTGATGTTTGTTACTGTTGGAATTGCTGCTTTATAAGGGTTTTTTTAATTGTTTGTTTGTTTGTTTGTTTGTTATCACCATCTTCATTTCAACGACATCCGATTTCAAATACCGTAGCCCACATCTCAGCTGTCATATTTGTTTTTTCATGCAACAGGCTAATTCGTGGTTTTCTTAGAACAAAATCCAAGCTAGCGATTTGTTTTTTTTTTATTTTTTTTTCCTAAAAAAAACGGGGTCCATAATTTGTTTCTCTGACCTGACATGCTTCCTGCTGGTTTGATGCAAAACAGAGCCTTAGGCTGTGGCAAACTTCGCCCTTAACTTATTCAGGCCATGTGAAAACCATTCACAATTCAAAATACCTGCAAATGTGAATTATACATGCACAGATCTCTGTACTATCAACAAGAAGGACCGTAAAGTTGAGTTCATAGGCAGCATGTGAATTCTGTGCTTATAACTCACTTTTCATAGGTATGTTGAACCTCAAGTGGTCGATCATATTCAATACACCGCTAACATCATTGCTTTCCCCTTTCTGAAGACTGTATTCTTCCTGCTAGGAAAGTAATTCCTTAATATTGCTAAAGGTTATTTCTTGGTAGCTTGAAACTAATCCTTGATTACAGTTTAGTTCTAAATGTCGGCCACTGTGAATATCTTCGATGCGTCTCTTCTTTTACGGGAGTTGAGATCATTACAGAAATGGGATTCTGGTGGTCCTTTTATCAACATCCATTGATCTTGAAACTTGGAGCGTTCGGATTTTAGATCAGATTTAGCTTGGATTATGTCGCGGAAACACAGCTGGTTCTCGTGCTTGAGTGTTTCGAAGTTTTCAGGCATACACATGTACCCCCGCTCCCCATATATCCGTTTTGCCAGGTAAATCAGTCGTTCATAAGAGCAGCACAGCATCCCTTTAGGTAAGGATTTCTCTTCTTGCTTTTAGTGGATTTTTAAGGAACAGTGATAATCCAGGGATTTGTTGCTCCTAATTTAGCCTTGGCTTTACAGAAGCAAGCAAGAAGTTGATGGCTCGGTATATAAGGTAACAGGCGACTAGCACTTTCCCTCCCTTAAGTACGTCAATGTTTTTTTAGAAGAAAAGTGCAACGATTGCTTGAAACGGCCTATTAATTTATTTTTCCTTTTAAGGTGCCATAGCCAAGTCAAGCATGCATTTGGTATGCTAGATGCAAATGCAATGCCATAGGCAATAAGATACCCATCTTCACATCGGCAAATAGTATTGTTAAATTCCAGTCTTCTGGGAAGCGTTTAAACCCTCCCATGGTCAATCTCTTAGGATTTTTTTTAAGGTACTTTCAATCCAGGTCCAATCCAGAAGGAAGGAAGTTGTGAACTGGCACAACAGATTTGCAGGTCTGACTTGGTGTGCTTGTTCTTATCGCGTTCTCGAACATCCGAGTTATCTCTACGGATGCTGAGATCCATTATAAGATGACTTTTAATTCTGTACTGCTGCTGTGACTTTCGGAAAATGTATAAACGCCATGCTGATAACAAAAAAGAGCTATTTAATGGAATATGTAACTCCTTTTTGTTTTTATTTATTCGTTTCGAGGTTTATTTTTGGGTTTCTCCCCATGTTTTAAATACTTCGCTCATTTTTATGAAGTGCATATTGAGTTGTCGTTCTAAAAGTCCTAAACGCCACCCTGCCTGCCTTCCTGTCTGCGAAGCTGTGTTGGGAAAGTTTAAGGCAAAGAGGGAAGGTTGAACTTTGGGTCCCAGTTGTATAGAAAATTTAAAAAGCACTTGAGTTATTAAATAACTGGTTAGTTGCCCTCCCTCTTTAGTTTTAATGTTCAGGGAATTCCACAGCATACGTACTGTGCTAATTTGAGGCCGAGAAGAGAGAATGTACCACATACATGTATACCTCTGGGAAAACTCAACTGGATGAAAGGTTATGAAAAAGTAGACTTTTAACTTATTTGATCCAACTTACTAGACTGACAATTTGAAGAGGTGTATAATAATTTATAAAAAAGAAAATTATGAGAATTTTCTGTTAAATGTTTGGGCTTAAAATATGGAGAAAAAAAAAACGAGCATCTGTTCTAGGCCTGTTATCTCTTCTTGTATGTTTGTCAACTCTTAATTTGTTTTTAAAAACGAAACAAAAAAGAAGAAGAAGCAGAGATTGGCAAACACACCAAAGAAATGGACAAGCTGATGATCATTAGGAAACCACAAACCTCATTCTTTTGAAAACAGCTAGAGTTTTTTTGTAAATATTTATGTTTATAGATGTACAGCAGAGTGTGTTTTTTTCTAGATTATTTAATTATCATATTTCTAATCTATTTACAATATTAGATACCGTATTTGTTTGTTCCAAAGGCTTCTGTTTGGATTGTAATTTGTTCTCTCTCTCTCTCTCTCTCTCTCTCTCTCTCTCTCTCTCTCTCTCTTCTCTTCTCTTCTCTTCTCTTCTCTTCTCTTCTCTTCTCTTTTTTTTTTTTGCTTAATTCATTACTCATGCAGTGAAAAACTTTGTCCTTCTGAGGATAGCATGAAAAGATAGTAGCCAAATATTTGTTAATATTCAATACTTTATACAACACCCATGCGGGAGTAAACTTCAGTCCCTACACATTGTGGCTTGCAAATAAGAGGACACTTACAAAAAGACATACACTTCCCAGAAAATTCCCAATTCCTTCCCCCATTAAGGCCTTATTATACTAATGCAAAACAGGCTTCCAGCCCTATTTCAGATTCTAGTTAAGATGTGAACCTTGGCTTACTATAAACCACACTTAACAGTTGTATAGACGTAATGCTAAGCTTCGGTTACGGCTAAGAATAGAAGGGGAAGAAAAGACTGTATGGAGATCAGATTCCTGAGGCTACTTCCTAATGTACTAATCTTATTTATCAGGGAACCGGTGGTCTGCCTGAAGCTTTGAAAGTTCTCTTGAAGAAAATAGGTCATTTTTTCTGCTCCAGCAAGCTTCTGTTCGTTTCAGTCCTGTAGGACTTGAGATGGAAGCTTCCTCCGCGGTGTCTTCGCATGCTTGTCAGGTTGCTACAGCGAACCCAGAGAATTTGAGACCTCGAGACTGGTTTGACCAGATCAAGTCGCAGCTCTGTCACTGTGGGAAGGATAACGTACTATTTTGTCTCCTGTTCCGTCTTCCACGCAGCTCTCTCCATGTTAGCAATTTCATAATTTGTTTTTTTCCTTTTGTAATGTAAGGCTTTTCGGTTGGGTCATTTTGAATTAAAATAATTTTACCAATTCTTTTAAATTTGGTCTTCTCTCTTTCTCTCTCACCCTCCCTCCCTCCCTTCTGCCACCCCCCCCAATTCATTCTTTAAACATGAAGATTTTGTATTGTAAAGATGGAGAAGTGCCATCTCAGTGCCTGTCTTTTAGAAAATTACTATTTTGGATTTATGATTTAATTTTTATTATTTATTGAACACCGATTCAGCAAAGTATGATCATCTACTTCTGAGCTGATATTTCACCGCTATGAAAATTGTGACACTCTCAGATCAGGAAAGCACTTGTGTTCAGATAATATGAGCAATTGAATACATGAATGGAATAAACTGATTTAAATTAGTGGTTTAAATTGCCAATATGATAAGTGAGTTCAACTACTTGATTTAAATCATGAACCATCATTTACTAAAAGCTTTCTAATTAAAATAGTGTCCTGACATGACTGTAATTATGAAAATACTTAAAACTCACACCCCAAAGCGGACTTTTTTTCCAGATTGTAGATGGGATGCAGCGGTTGCATATTTTCAGAAAACAATATTGGACAAAGACATCACAACTGATTTTATTTAGCTTATTTTGTTCCCATAGCACAATGATCATCGTTCACTCACCGAGATTGCTAATGTGTAAGTCAAGGTACTCTGGTACAGAAGGTAAAATATCCATGATCTGTGAGAAATGAGTCAGTAGCAAATTTGTACTATGTAATTATAGCAACAAAAACATCAATTGTCAATTAAGGGGACTGGACAGCAATTATGATCACACTATAGATAAGAGGACAACAACCGAGCCATGGTGGAGGAGTGGTTAGAATGCAGTATTGCAGGCTGACTCTGCCGACTGCCAGCAGTTCGATCCTAAATGGCTCAAGGTTGACTCAGCCTTCCATCCTTCCAAGGACAGTAAAATGAGGACCCAGATTGTTGGGGGCAAGATGCTGACTATAAACTGCTTAGAGAGGGCTGTAAAGCACTGTGAAGCGGTATACAAGTCCAAGTGTTATTGCTATATCAGATCCTGGCTGCCACTATCAACCATGATGTAGGTTTTAGGAGTTCAGGAACTATGGCACGGTATAGTTGCTGCACATGTATTACTCTTAGTCCATAAGGGAATCATGTTCAGATGGTGCCTGGATCAATTCAGATTTCAGTTTAAAAGAGACTGCATATTGGAATTCCTCAGAGACACCCCCCCCAAAAAAAAGAGGGGGCATGCAAACCTCCATTTTTGATGTAGCAACTGCTCTAGAGATATATTGGAATAAACTGTGGGAGAAGGTTGCTTGTTCTCTTGGCCAGCCTTAATATGCTCCAAAAGATTTCGTCCTGCTTTACTTGCTTCCAAATCTCTTATCTTTTTGCTTTCTATCTGGGACTCGCTTCCTCATTACTTCAGCTGAAAAGGCTACAGAAAAGATGAGTCATTTTAAAAAATTATTCCCTACTTTCCCTACAGTTTTTAAAAAAAGAGATAACACCAGTATCCTGACAATCAATATGTCAGCTGCTCAGTATCTTTGCTCTCAGCTAAACAGGTCTTCAGGTTTTCCTATTTTGCAGCTCCCACCTCTTAAGCATTGTCAGGCCTACCTGAAATACTCCTAGGAATTCTCAACTGGATGGTTTCTTCTATATCGCTTTTCCCCCAAGATGGTGGTTTTTTTTTTTTTAATAGGGAATTTATATTGCTGTCATACTTGTAAAGAAAGAAACAGACATTTTTGAACTCCAGAACTAAAATAATTCAAATTTTATTTTACAATGGTTGGAGGGAGTGGAGGTTGGGGAAGATGAGACAATGGTGTCATTTGATGTCGTATCTCTTGTTTACGTCCATCCCCCAGGAGCTGGCGGCCCTAACTATAAAGGAATTATTAGTGGAGAGGGAGTCACGAAACCCCAAATCTCCTAGCACAGACGACCTCCTCCACCTCTTGAATTTCTGCCTTAGGACCTATTTTACATTGGACAGCCATCGGTACGAACAGATAAAGGGGATGCCTATGTGATCTCCGATCTTGGGAGTGGTAGCAGAGGCGGTCCTCCAGAAATTGGAATATGAGGCTATGAAAATTTAGAAGCCCAGGTTTTCGGCACGTTATGTCGATGACACGTTTTGTCATTCTTAAAACAGCAAGATAAGACCAGATTTATGAGAATCCTCAATTCCATATATCCAGACATTCAATTTACGATGGAGGAAGAGACCAATAACACACTGGCCTTTCTGGATGTGCTGGTCAACCGCAACCCAGACGGGAGCCTTGACACAGGTGTATATTGAAAAACCATGAACATGGACCGCATTTTACATAATGAGAGCAATCACCTCATTGCACATAAAGTCAGTTGTATTCGGGCACTGTTCAATAGGATAGACACTCATTGTAGTACACCGACAGCCAAAGCCAAGGAGTGGGCATATCTTTTATCAGGTATGCAAGCTCAACAGTTATTCAGTGGACTTTATCTGAAGGTGTTCTACACCTAGAGTTTGACAGCCTATTTGAGGTGCCAGTGGAACTGCTACGTGGAGGGTGCTCCCATATATACGGGGGGTATCCAAAACTGCCGCACGCATCCTCTCGGCACACGGAGTCAAAGTGGTGCATAAACCGGATCAAACTCTGAGAATGAGAGTGATGCGCCCAAAGGAAACATTACCTAAGGAGGAGGCATCTTCGATAGTTTACCGCATCAACTGTAGTAACTGCAAGCAATTACGTAGGGAAAATGGCCAAGCTGCTACAGACCAGAGTACACGAACATGAATTGGCTGTCCGACACAAGGAACAGCGCTCCCAGATCTGGACGCATATGAAGGAGTACAATCACATATTCAATTTTCAAGAAGCTGAAGTTATTGCCCACGATAGGGCTAAAGGAGGACGCCTACTAAAAGAAGCCTGGTTCTCCAATAACAATTCCATCAATAGGCATATCGAACTGCCACCGGCCTACCAGATATTGAGACACCAGGAAAGACCTTGCAGGATGAGCAGAGACTGCTTCCCATCGGGGAGCAGAGATCGATGGCCCCCTCCCCCCACCCCTGAGCATGCAGACTCAGCCTGTGAAGGCGTAGTCAGTCCTGACCAAATACAGAGCAACCCGCCAGAGCTGTCTCATGCTATAACAGACAGGATTAATGAGAAAAAAATCGGGCCAACCACAAGGTCACGGACAAGACAGCAAATTGCAATGGTTGACAGGCTAACCTTATCCCCCACAGACAAGCAAGCTAGGAGGGAGGAAACAGTAGGAATTAAGCCTCCATCAACCAGCATGACAACAGCAAAAACAACACAGCTAAGTACAAGTGGGAGACGGTTGGAAGGGCCTATTATGCATGCAATGGCCAAATTGGCTAATGACATATAAAGGCAGAGATCTCTGTAATGGTAGTTTAATACTCTGGCGATGTCAGCAGATGGCTGACGAAAGCTTAGTAAAATAAAAAATTAATTATTTTAGTTCCGGAGTTCGCAGAATGTCTGTTTCTTTCTTTACATATATATATATATATATGAATGAAATATGCATGTATGTTTTTGTTCCCATTCACACTAAACATTTTTCTAAAACAAAACCAAATCCCAAGCACATATTTAAAAAGCAAAAGCATAAAATAATGAACTAAACAGTATCCATATTGCAAAAGGGATAATTCTGAACTGCATAATAGAAAATAAGCAGGAAGCAAAATCAGCTTTTCAGTGGTTTCTAAAGTGATTGGCATGTTTTGTGCCACCATTTGATACTTTCAGCGAAAGATTACTTTGTGGAAAATATATTGTATTTCAAAGTGGTTTTGTTGCTTTTAGTTGCCCTTTTAAGATCTGTGAAGTATCGCCCCATATATTGGAAAAGGCAATGGCATTGAAGAACAATGGGGCTGAACTTTATTTAGTCAAGACATTGACATTCTATCCAAGGATGAGAAATTACAGACTAGATGTATATATATATATAAAAAAAAGGATTTCCATGTTAATATTTTAAATTTTCCTAGAATGAAAAATATGTAGCAGATACTTTAAGCTAGCATCCAATTAATAAACAAACTTTTTTTTTTCTTTAAAGAGTGAGCCAGAACTGTTTTGCACAATCAAGCCTTTTTGGTTCTCTTGGCAAAATATTTACACGATTCTTACTGATTTACTAATAAGAGGCCATGAATTATGCTCTGGTTTCTATATAGTATTTCCTGTGTTCCTTTCTCAGCCAAATGCATATTGTTGTTTACAGAAATGGTAGACCTACAAGCTACTAATGAACATTTTATCCAAGTGATAGCACATTTCCTCTCATAAAGTGTATTTGGCTTCTGTTATATAGAAATTGGTTTGTTTTCTGATAATGAGTTTCTAATGAGGCATGAGTACTTCCCTGCTTTTTGCTGTAATTAAACCATTGGGGGGGTGTATTTTACGTTTGCAGATACAGAAACTTTGTTCAAATACTGAGAAGCTTACAGTAGTGGCGAAAATTGTGGAAACCTTTTGGGAAAAGTGTATTTTTGAGGTTTGATGGCTAATATCACCACTTTTTTTTGGAGTTTCAAGATAATCCTATTCCACTGCTGGAATGGCCTGGGAATAGCCCAGACCTTAAGCCAATTGAAAATCTATGGAGCCGACTAAAGAAACTTGTTAGTCAGAAGCGACCCAGCAATAAAACCCAGTTAATAGAAGCAATCATTCATTCTTGGTTTCACATTAGAACAGCTGCAGAACTAAAAGACTTGGTTTACTCCATGGGAAGATGTTGTAAGGCCGTAATGTAAGGTAACCATGCTAAAGGTTACCCAACTAAGTATTAACTGACATAGTGATAATTTTTGTATATCTCGTCTTTTCTATAGTGATCATTTTTCTATGTCTCATTTTTTCTACGTGTTTCACTTTTCTTCTTTATACTGTAACTGCTATTCTAATAGCAGATCCTTCATAAAAGTTATTGCATTACTTTCTTGATTAAATTATCTTTCCATTGATATATAATTTTATGG